CTGTACAAAGTCATCTAAACATTTGTGTATTCTTTCCCCCAAACCAGTGTTACGATGCATTTTTCAATTAATACCCTACTTGAGAGAATTATTTTTGGTCACTGAAATCAGCAAGCTCAAACGATGGTGGTTTGCCTTAGGGAAAAGTCCTGTCGCTTGTTGACAGTCTTCCTTTCTAAAACGCCTCGGGACTCACCTTCCACCTTCCTGTCTCCATGTACTTCTGCACTGTGGCAGTCTTCATGAAATACTTAACAAGAAAATGTTAAATGTAACATTTTCATTTCTTTGCATCCATGCCCAGATTTAAAATTTTGCCTCTAAGGATGTACTCTTTACTCCTTCTCCAGTTTGTGTTCAGGTATGAATACAGAAGACCAATGAAATTCTTGGTAGATGTGGGGGGAATATTTTGAAGAGCTTCTCACTTCTAAATGCAACTGTCTTTCAATAAATTGTCAGTGGCTGAAGAACAACAGCAGGTGTGTCGCTGGAATAGGCTGCTGCTTCCTAGTTAGGAAGCCATCATACAATAGCTGAAATAGCAACAACATATTCAATAAGCTGGTTTTATAGCATAGTGTAAGAAATAACTACCATCCCCAGGTCAGTCCCAGAAGAACAGACTATTTTATAGGATAAGGATTTTCAGATTAGAGGGGCTGGAATTTGCAAGTTGATGACAGTTGCAGAAGACTAAGGAGGTTGGAGGGTGGTGAAAACAGGTAGCTACATAAAGCAAAAAGCCAGTGGAAAATGACCACGTGAGGTTCAGGTAAAACTTTCTTTTGTGGTCTGTCTCTTAACTTGCCGTATTTACATTTTGTCCTCTGGGGACAGTGATGGACCCCACAGAAGCAAAGCCGAGCCTGGCAATGTTCACTGGGGAGTAGGGAAGAGCTCGTAAACCTCCCAGGAATGCAAGCGGTAATGTGGAGGGAGATGGTACATGAGTCCAGGATCAAAGCTGTAAACACCTGCTTAAGTGACTTAATTAGACAAATTAGTAGTAAATACAAATTCAACAGTAAAATTAGTAAGATAATGAGCACTAAATTCTAGGTGTTGGAATGCTCTGAGTACAGAGTCCCGTGTGACTAAACTGCTTGAGACGCTGGCCTTGCTTTGCACTGAGTTCTCTTTGTCTACACAGAATCACAAGTAGGTTGCTGTCGCTGCCAGGGAAGACACCATGGCCTAGAGTGCTTGTGGAGGGGGAGGCACCCTGTTAAAACCCAATTCTCACGGAACTCGCTTCTCCCAGGGCTGGAGAGAGCTATCACTGTTATATCAGGCTGAAACTCACCTGATGGCTACTTCCTCAGATGGCTTTGAACAGTCAGCTGTTTTATAGAAACTTCTTACTTTCTGTACTAGAGCTGTAGGAGAGTTCTTTGGGGGCTGTCACGTCGTCATTCTTGTTGAAATCCTTGAAGATAGTTTCGTGTGAGTAGGTATCATTTTCAATTGAATCAATTACCTGTTAAGATAGTGAATGCAAAGGAAAACACTTCAAAACCGTGTACCTTAGCACTGTTCACTACTTCCTGGTAAATACATTGCTCTTTATATGACTTTTGTATGGAAATGGTTGGTTTTACTTATGTGACACATACTTTGTTTTAGATGAAGAGGAAGTTCCCAGAGTTCCTCACGCCACCAATACACTGCTTTCTAAAAAGCAAGCAAGGTTCATGACCTCACTATCCTAATTACTTTTTCAACCTTCCCCAATTTTCCTTTCATCAAATGAGTTCAGTCTTCATCCCTGTAAGCCTGACTCCCAGGAGGAAATTACATAGATTGAAATAACAATAGGTGATTGGCATTATCTATACCTACAGTTGTGAACAATGAGAATGGTGCCTATTTCAAATTACAAGGTTAGTTAGGTACATTAGAAATCTGAGCTAGTTTCTGATAATTTTTTTGTTACTCCAGCCACAGTAGTGGGAGATAATAAGCGTCATTTGCCAATCAGAAACATGATTTGAGTTTTCCCCTTTAATTTGCTCAGACTTAGGGAACCACTGGGAATGTTTGGTCCAATAACTGTAGTTTGTTCTGCCCTTACTGAGAGACCAGATTTTAAATTCTGTATTTAAATTCAAGTACTGTGTAATCAAAAATTCATGATATCCCTAGAGACAGTTGAGTGAAGATGTGGAGAGAAATGATTAAAGGACCTTGAGTTGGCAAGATAAAAGTGTTCAATATGTATAGTTTGTCAAAGGGTAAAAGGAAGAGACAACTGCCCTCAAACACCAAGCTGAGGTGTAAACAATGAAGCAGGGTTTTAAGTACCAGCGAGGAATGATGGCAATAAATGGAGAAGACCTCTTTCGAGTGGACACATGTCAGGAGCATTTCTCCAGGACTCGTGAATCTGTCAAGCAGAAGTGCGACTCCAGTAACATCTAATTTAGAGAAGGTAGAAACCCAGAATCATTCTCAATGGAAAATTGCTTGCTGTAAAGTAGATTTATATTACTTAATATTCTTCCTAGTTTTTATTTCTTGGGGCTTCAGCTTAATTTTCTCTGGAGAAATGTCAGACTTTGTTCCTATCTGTTCTGACTCATGCTTTCCTAAGCCCATCAGTGTCATTTCTGCCTTTTCCTTTCTTGCCACTTGAGTGTACATCTGTGCTGAATTTCTAGTTGTCTCAGGATCACTCTCATAATTTTCTTTGCATTTGAACATTGGGCAATTCTTCAAATCCTTTTAGAATTCTCTTAGGTCTCCTACGACTCCACCTCCATAAGTAGGAGGTATCTTTTCACATTTCTGTAGCCACTGATCCATGAATGCAAACAATTGGGGGGAAAGGTTGGGCCTGCTGTTAGATAAAATAATCTATAAATGAGTCTGAAGGATCAGCCCAGGGTCTAGAACAGGGAATTAAACTGCAGCAATGCACATTTTTCTTCTAGCTGACACTTTTTGCTGTCTAGTGAGAACATTATTTAATGAAGTAGTCGAAGGTGGGGTCTAATTGAACTCTAGCTTGCCTTCCTTTTTTGGCTCGCCACATGCTTGTCTTATTCGATGCCTTCAGTTGGGGCCTCTGTGTGTCTTGGACTTGCTCATAGGCAGCACATTCCTGGATCTGCCTTTTTGCCCATCCATTCTGTGTTGTGCTGAATTTTTATCATCCCTCTCTCTAAAGTACCTTTCTAGTCCTTATTTGGCCCTTGTTCTGCTTTGTGGGATAACCGCTCCTTAAAATTGACACTATGGTGTCTGAAAACCAGCCGGATACCCCTTTCCCTAACTCCCATCCTAGCTCAAGTATTTGTGTTAACTCCTGAAGCAGTCTGGGTGACGAATGTAGTCAGACAGGTTGGCACCCCGAGACGGCTGCAGGAGAAAGACCTCATATTTCAGATATACAGTCATTCCTGAAGTAAGACTAACTGGTAAATCTTTCGTTCTTTACATTTGAAGGGGTAAGAGAGATTATACTGGCAATACCAGCAAACTACCTCAGGATGTTTGTTCCTTATCCTAAGAAACTACTGTCCCGTTCTGCCTATCTGCTCACAAGAGACGAGTATTTCACAGCTCAAGGTTTTGTTTGGCTTTTGAGGCACTGTTCAAGTCTAAAGTAATTTAATTTTTACATTTACTTTTGGTTAAGGAACTTCTACACTGCCAGTTGGGCCTCTAAACTATAATTACTAGTAAAATAACTTTCTTAATTAGTACATATTGCCAAGAATTAAGATTTCTGTGTGTTTCCCACTTCTAAATGGTTATCATATTGCAGTTACAAATTACATCGTTTCTTTTTAAATGAATGCCTAATTTTAAGTTATAGTGGCGGGTGTTAATACATTTGTGCCTAAACAAAAGTAACTGTTGATGTCTGGAAAAGGAAAGAAATTGCTCTAGTCTACGTCAACAATGATAAACTTGCTTTTGATGTTTATACCTAAACTTGAAAAAGCTCTGCATTGCTGAGCCCTAATGTACTCTAAAAATCTTTAAGAGTCACTGGATAATTTACAACAATTTTAAGCCAGTAACAAAACCTTGATGACAAGATTCAGAAACAGTAATCTTGAAAGGACTCCTAAGACACAGGCTAGAATTGTTTTCCTCTGAAAACAAACAAGCCAATTTGGGACGTTAAAACTTCCTAGGAAAAAATGGGTACTTTGCGGCATGTGTATTAACCAGTAACAGTGTTCCAGAGTGATAATTGTCTAGTCTGGTGATTCTAAAATGCGACTACAAGATTATACAAGTACCCCTCCATATTGCTTTATACTGCATTAAAATCTCTTCTTACAGCTTATTTACTATAATTTTAAGGTAGCATTGCCCTGATAGCAAAACCTAACAAGGATACCACAAGGCAAAGTCCTCTATCCCTGATGAACTAGATGCGTAACTCAACAATACATTAAAATGTCACAGACCGGCATCAAGACGGAACTATTCCAGGCAGGCAATTGCTAGTTGAATATGCAGAAGTCAACAAATAAGATAGATTTCAGTACTGAAAACATCTGATTAGCTCAACAGAAAGATATCTCATGCATTAGTAGAATTATGTATTACGAAGCTATCCATAGAAAATAGTTCACATAAAATACCTGACTATTACAGCAATATTGAGAAAGAATAACAAAGCTATAGCCATCAAAACAGTTATGTGTTTTGGCATAAAATCAGATACCGATGCTGGAACAAAATAGAGTCCACAAATAAACCCCTGCAGTTAATGGTGAATTTTTTTTTTTTCTTTTGAACCACAGAGGCAAGCATATACCACAGGGAGAAAAAAGTTACTTCAATAAAGGACTGTGGGGGAAATGACATACATTAAAAAAACAAAACTATACTACATATTACCTTATACACAGAAGTTAACATGGATTTTGGACTTGTGACCTAACTTACGAGCATGGTAGTGAGAGTCTTGCCCGTCAAGTCTCCCCAACTACTAAGATCCTAATCGCATAACCCCATTTCCTCTGCAGAGCACACCAAGTGTCTGGAGAAGTCCTTACCTTTAAGGAGTAGAAAAGTGCAGGACCCTGGAGGCCAAACAAGCAATCCTGTCTGGCTCCTGGATGCAGGTAAGAAAACCAGAAACTTGTACCATCACGCCACCTGCTGGAACACAAAGGAAAAGCCTCTAATTGCCAACCTGTTGACTAAAACAGTATAATGTTACCATAAACTGTCAACAGGGATCAGTGCATCAAGGTATAACATTAACAAATACATGCATTCCCAAGTGGGAACGATTTTAAGCAAATAGTACATTAAGGATTTAAAAGGAATAAATATACAACAATATGATCACAGTAGGAATTTCAGTGCCCCACTGTCAGTAATAGCTGATAGTCCAGAGAGAAAATCAACAAGCAGATGTTGCACTTAGAGAATAATTGAAAAATCTCTAAAGTCTGTTTTCTTAAGCCAAGCATATTTAACCTTTAAGTGTCAAAGGTAATAAGCTCTTCTGTGACCACAGCAGTATAAAATTACAAATAAATAACTGGTAAAGATAGCGAAATGAACGTGAGATTTATATGGAGGTAAGGATTGTGTGCCGACATAAAAAGCAATTAGACAAAACTTTTGTTAATCTGGAAACATGAAAGAAGGACATGGAGGTAGTATATACTGCTGAGTAACTTGAAAAACATGAGATAAAGTCGAAACTAAAAAACAAACCAGATGGTGAAATTACCAGGGGTTGGGAGAGAGGGAGGAAGATGGATCTGATAAGCCACAGAGCTGGAATATATATGGATGAGGATGAATATCGGCAATACAGTGCTGAAATCATGTCCTGAGGTCAGGATAGCCTCTGTCAAGTGAAATTCCATGCACCTTCTGTGTACGAAATGAAAACCACAAATGTGTCAAAAGTCTTGAAAACAAGACCTGCAAGAAGAGAACACTGAATCATAAGAATTCAGTGTTTCCATTTGTGACAATATGGCTGGACCACGAGAGCAGCAATCCGTAAAATGCGCGGTAAGTACAGTAATAAAAAGGAGTTACCGGGGGCTTCCACACTGCCATCTACGTGCCGCTTAGAAGTTGCTTCTGTCCTCCCACCCAACAGAGAAGGGAGGTCACCGAGCCGAACTGCCACGCTCAAAACCGCAGAGGTCACGCGTGAGGACACGACTGGCCGTTCCCCGGGGACAGGCGGCTATGTGGGCGCCAGCATGCGAGTGAGGAAGGCCGCGCCGGCGACTCCACCGCGGGGGCGCCTGGCCTGGAACCCAGTCTCGGGGGCGGGCCAGCCTCAGTGAGAGTCACCTCTGTTCACATTCTCAGAGTGTCAGGAAAAAGTTGCTTACAAGGGGAAGGGGATCCTAATCATTTTCAAAAATCCACCGGCTAATTTTAACAAATCTTCCATTAGCAGAGCCTTACTACCTGGGGAGGAACGGCCAAGGCCAGCAGGCCTGCGACCTAGAGCCGCTCACAGCTAGTCTTTACTCTGCCCTTTCACCCAGCACGTCATGGCTGCCTTTCCACAGAACAGTCGCGAGTCAGGCTAAAGTGCAGAAACACAAGGCGGAGAGAGAGCGGGCCCTGACGAGACGGGATGGAACACACAGCCATGATCTGCGATGGATGCAGCTGGGCCCTGGCACTGGACCTCACAAAAGTATCTTACATGTGAGCCACCTTTCCTCTCTCTCAGCAGGGAGAACGCTGGCGAGCGTACTGGACGTGTCCAGAGCACGACTCGCCTCAGAGAGGGAAACAGAACTGCAGCAGAAGCTCCACCCGTGACGGTGGCAGGAGGATGGATTCAGGCCACGGCGGGTGGGCTGGAGGGGTTCGCTGCCCCCCCCCCCCAACCCGTACCTCCGAAGGCCGTTTCAGACGCCAGGATGGAGAAAGTGGGCCTGGGCTTAGTGCTCGTAGATCTGGGTGAGGACGCTGCCGCCTCTAGCTACTCACTGAATCGTCAGAGCTTCAGCAGGAGGAGTCTCAGCGGCTAAGGAAGAGGTTCCTGCTCTGAATAAAGCGTCATTTTATCTCCCCTCTCTCGTACTGGCCGGTGACAAAATATGATTATATTTTTCCTCAATCTTATACTATTTAAAAGGATCACAAGCAAACAAAATTCAGTGCTTTTTTTTTTTTTTTTGCCTGTAGCAAGCAACAGTAGGGAATAGAAACCCCATCAGGTTAGGGAAGCAAAGACTTTGATAAAAAACGACTGACATCCAGCCTGAGATCTGCATACATTTAACCATGCTATTAGAATCTGCAAATGAAAGAACAAAAAGAAATCCTGGTAACCAAAAAGCATTAGAAGGAAAATGAACAGCGTTTATTACAAGGAGCCTTTCAGGAAAAAAAAAAGATCGCATAGCTGGTCGGTAACGAGTTGGCTTTCCTTTATCATCACCTTCTAGTTCGGTGCTCTTGTCCCTAACTCACGTGTTTATGGGCCTCGAGTCTCTGCTCAGAGTGATCTGCAAACACCTGGGGGAAGTGGGCTCTGTTCAATATGGTGTTCATTATGCCTTTGCTTTCACCCCGATCCAGGCTCATGTTCTCGCGGACAGCTGCTCCAGGGAGCCTCTCCGTTGGGACCCTGAACAGGTACTGTGGTGTCTCCCCCTTCCCTAGGGCCCAGGCCTGGCTCTGTCACCGGGGCCCGTCTACTCAGGAGCAGGGCCCGTCACGTGCTGGGCCCGTGAAAGGCAAACCCAAGGCCTTGCATCTGGCATCGAAAGCATCAGCGCCGCTGCACGTGTTGGTCCCACACTGTGCATCTTCCCGTGGGGCCCTCCTGAGGGGCCTTGACTTCCATGCTGGAGACAGCCTGGTCTTTCCTCATTTTTATAGGACCTGTCCTGAGGTCCTGACACAGTAGATTACATAATCTCATACAAAATGCCAGTGAGGGAAGCTGAGCTCCCTCTCCCAAGGATGACACACTGAGTGTTCACTCTTCCCTGTGGAGAGATACTTAGGCCCTCAGGGCACTGAGAAGAGTCTCTCCAAGTTGCCCTTGGAACATACCAGGCTGCTAAGTGCCCTTAGCTGGAGGCAAGTGGCATGTCACCCCACTGCGGGGTGCCACAGAACACCTGCCCACTGACAGGGAATCCGGCCTACTCCCGCCCACAACAGGCAGGTGGCAGGCAGACAGGATACCCCTCAGGGGTAAAGGAGGGAAGCAGTATGCCAAGAACCTAATCTCAGAAGCAGGAACCAAGACTCAAAAATGCTCATCAAGGATGTAACTCCCAAAACAAAAATTCACAGACAAAATTGACTTCCATGTGGCACCTGCAAAGCTCTAACTCCCTTATCAGGGGCCCTTGCCAACATAGTGATGTTGAACAGTGGTGCTATTACCTAATGGGTAGAAGCCAGGGATGCTATTAAGCTCACAATGAATAGAACCGTCCCCACAAAAATTACCTGGCTGCAGTTGTTGATATTGACAAACTTTAGTCAATTATAACTTAGTAAATTAATCTATGTTATAGTACAATAAACTCATTAAGACAGTCACTGTCCTTAAATAGCTTACTAATCAATATAGGAGACGGATCAATACAAAACTAATGAATGCATTCTCTCATGTCACAAAATGACAGCATTTAGGAATGAGGAGACCACTACTGAGGATGCATCAGTTGAATCAAATCCTGAAGGCCTTCCTCTCCAAACAGAAGTAATGCACAGTTTTGTAGCTGGGAATGTAAGAAGGCATTGGAATTGCAGGGCCACCTGGAGACACTGGTCTGTACCCTAGGAGCATGGAAAGCAGCTGACACGTCTCAAACACCAGGATAACTCTGGGAGGTTTGTATATATATATATTTTCTGTTTTGTTAAGCTTCAGGGTGTCTTACATTGATACATAATTTACTGTTGAGAATAGGTAAATTACCTTAAGCAGTAAGGGTGAGGTCATTGTCTTCCCTTTGTTTCTAGACAAAGGCCTGATGTAACTGAGAGAGGTGATCTGTGTACTATGACTAAACTTTACACAAAGCTTCCTGACCCCAAGTCTCTGCTAGCCCTGTTTTAAAAGCATTTAAGAAAACTTTCTGTTGTAAATGTTTTGTCTCACTCGTGAGTATAAATCTCTGCCAACACTTTGAGCAGCTTTTTTTATTTTTTACCCAGGAATGAGTGGAGGGCCTGGAAGCCATCCCTTTGAAACGCAAACACTAAACATCTTACCTCTGTCTGCTGGCCCTTCAGTAAGGGCCAGGCAGAAAGAGCCGATGGCTCCTTCACTCTGACCGCCCTGCTCCCGAGCGTCCACCTTACTTCCCCTTCAGCTCACCCTGATGATAGTCTCTCTACCTTTTGTTTCAGCAGAGTTGATTCCCAGCTCTCACTATTGAAGTTTTCAATAAATCTGTCTTGCCATATTCACAAGCATCTGGTACAATTTTTCTTTTACTCCGAAAAGAGAAAATTTTAAACACTGTAGAGGACAGGATTAAGAGTGACCTGGTAATATTCTGTAAGGTGCTACACAGGGTCTATTTGAGTCCAACTGAATTTGCAGAAGATGTTGGTGTGAGATGTTGTGCAGGGAAAGTGACTGACAGGCCCTGTCTTGTTAAGTTTGGCAAGTTGAATGAGGTGAAAGGACAGAAGAGCAACAACAGTTTGAAGTATTGTCAAATATTTTTGAAGTAATACACAAGCAATAAACCACAGATTCTAGGTAGGGAATACTGTGTAAACCAGGTAATTGATCTAGTGAAAGAAAGCACTGTCCATAAATATAATATTTCAAAGTGTGCCTTTCTACCAATCCATATTTAAAAAGATTTAATCAGTTTGAAAAAAACATCCTGATGAATTTTATTTCTGAAATTCAGAATTAAAAAGAAATTATATGTAAAATGTAAAGAGAAAAATAAAGCACTTTCTAGTCAATACAGGGGAAATATTTCCTACAAATGCCTCATTCATGAAAAAGCTCTTAAACTAAAAAGAACTTCTTCATCCTCTCACATTATTAAAAACACCAAAAGCAATTATAAAGTTCTTTTCCATTAAAATAAAAAATGAGAAAATTGCCCAGGATCTCATCTTTTATGTAACATTCTGGATAACAGGTAGGGTTCTGAAAGAAACCTGCTATTGAGCCGGGTCAGAGAACAAGGCAGGTGAGGAAGCGCGAGACACACCCAACAGAGTGACTCTCACGCATTCCTGGTATCTGGATGTCTTCATTCTATTTCCAATTACAAGAGGGTAATTGTCAGGAATGAAATTTTCTCATCATGACACTAAAGGGAAGAATCCTCTATTTAAAGAGAAAATGAGATGACGTGAGGGAAGAGTTGGTTTCATGTAAGAAGTGAGGGACTGTCCGTTTATCACAAAACACATTATTGAGGAAGAAAATAGAACTTAAGAAGGTTGTAAAACTAGGTCAGAAAGATTGCCAATTTTCTTCCTGGTACGGGACTGTTCCTGTCACCTTCTGCATCATTTCCGACCTAAGTGTGGCCCTGAATGAGGGAGCCCAGCTTTGCCACTTACGATCTCCCTGCCCTGCTCCCAACCTGTCGGGAACTGAGAGCTCCACGCATCTGTGCTCTTTGCCTGTCTGTGAATGCCCCTTTCAACTCTTTTTCAACAGCATTTCATCCCAAGAGATTAAATAGCTCTTGGGAGTGCAGAGTACTTCCTCAAATTTTATCTTCAATCACGTCATTTTCTAAGCACTGTGGCTGTGATCTACACAGATCACTCAGGACGGGATTTGAATTTGCTCACCATAAATATTAAACTGAGTGAGAAGTGTAGCTACTCGAAGAATGACCATGTGACCAAGGCACTATGCTCATAGATGGATCTCGTGTGGGTCTGACTAGACAGGTGCTCTGGTCTGGGGTCCTGCCTGTGTGTATGTTGACGTGACACTGTCAGAGTGACCAGTGTGCTGATCTCGATGTAAAACAGAGTGAAGTGCCACTTTCATTAAATCTCCATCTCCATCTCCATTTTAATCACGCACTGTCTTCTCGTCAGTCACTGCACTTTCTGATACTGACCTCAGCAAAGAAAGATGAGTTAACACGGTACCTTTGAATTTGTAAAAGTACAAACAAAAATGACATATGCCAGAGAATAAGAAAAGTAAAATTCAATGCTTGAGGCTGAAATAAGCATGGAGAGGCCAAATACAGTATTTCACTGGATTGGGAATAGGCCATGAAGCTTCAAAAAAAAGTGAAAGTCCTCACATTGGAAGACAATATTCTCCTGGGTCAACAGGGCTGTACTGAGGGGAAAAGCCACACTATGTGGGGCGATGCCGAGACTCCCCTTGCATGTTCACACATATAAAAAGACAGAAAACAGTGAAAGCTCAATTGAACTGTGCTCTGCTGCTCCCTTTATTGGCGACTGTGGCGTCTCCCCAGACAGTGCAGCTGTCAAGTAGCTGAGCGCTGCACAGTGGCCGACACAGCAGCAGAAGAGCGGCCAGCCCGGTGGAGCAGACCACTCCACGCTGCAGTTTCAGGCTGAAAGAGCTTGCACTTCAGTCATTATCTGTTGTGTTTTTGGAAGTCTCCTTAGCCGATATAACTGAGCTAAACAATGAACGCGCAACCGTAGCGACAAAAGCTTTTACGTACTTTGCTTTTGTTTAATCCTTATCATGTTCATGATGCACTTACAGAATTTGGTTGTTACTGTGCAGTGTTGTCCATGTTGGAGTTCTTTCTCCTTTGAACAAACTGCAGTTGTTTGAAGTGTGCAGTTCCAATAAATGGCACTCCTGCTTATGATGCAGGTGTTTACTTATATTTCTCTATCTCTTGCCAGACATTACAGTGAAATACTGAAAACTAGAGACAGATTTTACACCTTGCTCTGTTTTCTCTCTGAAATGTCCATCCTCTTGACTGGCTCTTGCTAAACGGTCATTTGTGTGATGTTACCTCCTCAGAGAAGGCCCCTCAAGCACAAAGTTCTATCCAGGACTCAATGTGTATGACAATATTCTGCCTTCTTGTCCTTAAAAAATGATCAGAATTTTGATTTCCATCACTGCTCACCATTTCTTTTCTCCTATCAGAATAGAAGCTACTTACAGAGAGATCAGAGTGGCTTTAGAAAACAGCTTTTGTCCCTACTGCCTTCAATGGTAAGTGGCATCAGTGTGAGCAAAGTGCACCTTTTCTGATAAATGTGGGAGCACATAAATGTATACACGTGTGAACAGAGAATATTTGCAAACTTGGATGGAAGGAATGAAACAAGATACTACAAGATTTTAACCTCATCAGCATCCTCTTGACCCCTGGCTCAAGTTCTAAAATAAGTAACTGGATGATCTCTGAAGACAGAGACAGGGCTCGGATTCCCGAAGAGAGCAGGTCAAGCTATGGCCCGTGCCTACTGAAGTACAGAAGGTAAATGAATTCACAGTAAGCCCACCGTGTAGGGGTAACCTCTGAGCATTTGCACCTCCCCCAGAGGCAGGACAGGCCCTGGCACCCTACGGAGGCTTCTTGTTCTCCCACCTGAGTGGCACCCTAGAGCCTGTTACTCAGCCTTCCTGATGAAACAATGTGAGGCATTTTCTCCATGTAACTTTGCAGGATTAGATTTGAGACTTTCTAAGATAATATAAAATAGCTTCCTGTAAAGCCTGGTCATTAATAAATGTTTCTAATAAAAGTTTCTGGGTCTACACTTAAATACTGTGTTGGCAATCATTATATGCCTTACAATGCAATAAATTTTTTTAAGCCGGTAAAATAGGAATTGAATTCTTATTTTTTTTTCTGTATTACATCACATGGAATGAACACCCAGAAGTTGTCCTAGTCATCCCCGTTGTTGAATACTGTCAGCGTCTTCCCAGCATTCCAAACTGAAGCCACAGATAAAAATGACACCCAGTGTGAAATGTAGACCAGGGCAGAGGGACAGTAATATTTCCTACATCTCACCATCATCACAAGCACAATGTACAACTGGGATTTAATTCTTCCCAAAGGGAATCAAAGACTGGCCCCGAGGCTGTTAATGGCTATTCAAGAACACAGCCACACGACTGTTCCCAACAGAGGAACGGCCTTGAGATCTCAGATGGTGGGAAGGGTGGGAAATGGTGGGGGGCCCGGGGGGGAGGTGAGTCCTCTCAGTGAACCCACTGGACTTACTGCCAAAGCCCAAGTACTGGTAAAAGTGCAGTCGCAGGTCCCTAATGTGAACATGTTCTAACCTTGTCACAATTTCATGGGAGGCACTGGAGGGGGAAAATATGAAAGACAGACCAACGTGAAACCAAGACCACTCACTTCCCTTTGGGCGCACCATAGAGCAGGGAGGACAGGCTTCCTCTGCTTTGCCCAGACTGATGCTGTGAGGACTTTAGGAGATGCGTCTCTGGCCTGGAGGATGCGTAAAGCTCTCAGTAGTCTGAATCCTCCTTCACCTTGCAAGGGGATCTTAGCTAAGAAACCTATTGGTGAGGGGTTTCGACTTTGCAAACACGGTGGGGGCTGTGAGTGCACCCCACTGCCCACCTGGGCCCATGGCCATGTGCTTGCCATGGACTACGGGGCACGCGGGTGACAGGGCTGGTCACGTGGGTGACAGGGCTGGTTCCGCAGGCCATCACGACAGCGTGCTACTGCGGATCGCAGCTTAAGCATACACACAAAAGGCACAGCGGAAAGATGATACTACAGATGGAAATGGGACACCAGCGCACTACCACGAACAAGGCTCAGCAGACGAAGGGCTCGTGTCCAGGCAATGTCAGGGCCTGTGGAAGCATGATGGTCCCGGCTTTCCGGCTCGGAGTTGGGGAGCTGACTTTAAAGAGTTCAGGAAGCAGTCATGGGGAGGCTAGCTCAAGTTTGAAATGCTCGATGCAAATAAGCAGATTTAGAACGTCAGAAAAACTTCCAGGAACAAAAAGAATTTTCACCAATTAAATGGAAGCTACTAAAAAGAAAAAAACCCAAGTCACGGGTACATGAAGAATACAGTGAAAGGACTGAAAACAACCACAAAAAGCATAGAACGTAGGTTTACACTTGCAAAGGAAAGACTATCAAATAGACCAGAAAAACCAACAAAATGAGTATCCCTGAAAGTTAGAAAAGAGTGAGCAGGGGCCTATTCAAAGACACAAGGGCTAAGCACTCTGAGCGCCTAAGAAGAACCAGCCACTGCCAGGAATGGGAGAAAACACCTAATTACTAAATGTAAAATGATACATTATGTGAAGTATCTAAAATTAAAAGATGAATTAGATGATTTCACTCTAGTATGATAGAAATGACAAAAAAAAAAAAAAGTGCAAAACTAGCAAATTCACTTAGACTCTGAAAATGAAAGCCGTGACCAGAAACCAGGGAGCACACGGAGGGGCAT